AAGTATTTTTAAACAGAATACAAGAAATAGTTTCACATTAAACTTTCTCTCCATTCCATTTTAACCCTGAAAAAGTGAAAGGCTTTCAAAGCCTCCCTGTAACACCCATCTGATGTAACCAACAATCCTGACACCACTGATGACAGAAATGAAATTCTTCACCAAAGCTAAGCAAAAAGCCATTAACTTTTAGAAGAAAAAAGAGCTAAAGAAGTTAAATACCTCGGTGTTTGGTGTAACTACCTTTGCCCTCCTTTCCAACAGTTATTTAATCCTCCTTACTTGTGTTCACAGCTGGGTATCAGCCTTCAGGAGCACTTTAGGACACAAGGACAGACACAGTTACTGACCTTGCGTGGAAGGCACTAGTAGCAGGTTCCTTTTAAAAGATAAAGGGATGCTTGCCTTTGGGGGCGGCTGGCCTTTAGCTCTCATGATTTCCCATCAACAGTGATGCTTGCTGTCACCTCAGAAGAGACATAGCACACATCGGAAGACCAAGGTCTCTGTAAAGTACCTTTTCAAAGGTAGTGTCAAAGGTACCTTCCCAATGCCCTTCTGCAAGGCTCAGTGCCACCAACACCCTTGACACAGCACCTCTCCTCTGCTGTACTAAGTGGACCTCCCATGCCTATTCCCTCAGCAAATTTTACTGCTAATAACAGGAAAGAAAAAGTATAAACTAGAACAGGAATGCTGATGGACTGAAGCACAGCAGAGTGAACACAGGCACTGACCCTACAGCCTGTGTGTCCCTGCAGCACCTCCTGGGAGAGCACAGGCTGCTGGTCCTTGCCCCTGAACAGGGAGCTGCAGTGGGGGTCCTATCTGGAGCTGCCGGCAATCAATCCTTGCACTAACTGTGCTGCAGGGCTCCACGTTAAGAGATCACGGAGCACTCACCAGAGCCTGGAGAGCCTGGACAGCTTTACTTGGCTCCACCTGGTGGGCAAACAAGGTGCTTTGGGGTCACAACCACCCAGCCCCTCTTGACGAGTCACTGCTTTCATGAGAAAAAAAGATTATGAAGTAAGACTGTCTTCATTAACACCAACTTTGTGTCTCCTGTGAAGAACTCAATTCATAAAGAGTAAAATACATCACTGATGGCTGGGATTACTTCCTGTATGTCTCTATTTCCACATATTTCAGCTATAGAGTTTACCTTCACAGGTCCCACACAAGTGAAACTGCATTCCTAAAAACCAGCATATATTTACAACCACCACTCTTGGGACTCAAAGTACCCTGGTGATCAAGCAATTCACAAACAGCTCCTAGGCAGAAATGGAGCAAACATGCACTGCCTACAAGACAACTGTCTGCTGTTACTACTGTGCATAATCACAGTGGAGTCCCTGTGCTCAGTTTCTCCATTCACCACCCAGGGGTTTGATTCTGCTTGGAAGAGTGGAAGGAGTTACAAATTGCACCCCCATGGTGTATGTTTCCTCAACAGAGACCTTAACCTACCTCTTCCCCAGCAAGTAAAGGAACTGTAATAGGAGCTCGTGACAAAGAATACAGCAACTCCTTGAATTTGTCCTTGTCCTTGCGTCTCAACAAAACCCCCATAAACATTACACAGGAAAAAGATCCATGGCGCAATGAAAGGCAGGAGGTTATAATACGTCTCCATTTAAATTCATGATGGATTTCGTTTGCTCATCCACTGACAGGCTCTGGAGTAATTTTTCATCCTGTGTTCTCAGATTTTTATACCTGAGAAACAATAGAGGTCTGTTAATTGAACTAAGGAACAAGGCAGCCCCAGCTACTTTGTCTGTGCACCCCAGCTAATGATAGAAGCAAAAAGAAAATGCTTAGTTAAGTACCTTTGGCTGCAAACTGGATGCAAACCAGGGCATTAATAGCTCTCTTTAAGACAGACATATGGACTAAAGCCCAAGACTGTATCTCTGTAATTGTGATTACAATAGGTTTCTAGTCACTGAAATATGTGTCCCAGTTTAACAAGGTCCCTGCTGTCATTATATTCTTGCTGAAGTTAAAGCAATAAATAGTTCTGCACTCTTGATTTCTGATCTGAAAAGAAACAATCCCAATAGCATTGCTATGGCTTTTTCAACCTCAGAGTTCCCTTCTGTCTTTATCTTTTTTATTACATTGGAGTTAATTTATTACAAGACAAAGCTATTTCTCCAAGTCACAACCATCCACTTGCAATAGCAATTGTATTTAATTAATTCCAGTATCAACTTATTTCATTTAGTGCTGAGTAAAACTGTTTCCTATCAAGCAAATCTGTTCCTTTTTAGGCCACATTTAGTCATTATCATGACCAAAATGCATTTTGATTTTTTTAATTCTTGAAGATGCAGACTTGGCTCATCTTAGACTTGTTCTAGCAAAACACTGTATAAAGGAAGGTATTATTGCTATTGCACAAGTGATGGGGTAGCTGAGGCACAAAGGGATGAAGTATTTCACCTCTGGAGGTGAAAACAGGAAGCGAACGCAGCTCTGTGGCCTATATGCAGTACCATACACCATGATGTGACATCCATCCATCATGTACTGCATTGCTAAAGCTGCTTGCTATACTCACATAGAAGCTGCTCATTTTGCAAAGGCACTGGAAAAAAGAACAGATTCTGTTTCAATTCTGCTACGATTTCTGCTTGAGCTCCCATAGTGGAAACCCTCTGGAAAACAGGGGCTGTGCCTCTGGCTTGCACATTAAATGACATGCAGCTGTTTATTATCCATGGTGTCTATGTATCTCAGAGATGACAGATTTCCTGAATACACAGATATGTACTCATATGTGAGCAGCACTGATGAGCTGCATCATGAAATTTTCCCTGTCTAACCTAATTGCATCTATCCCAGGCAGTAATAACACTACAGGAATTTCACAGCCCCTGTTCCCTGTTTCATAAAAAGCTCAGCTCTGAGCATAATCCACCAGGGCAATGTTTGAAAGCTACAGTGCACAGATGCAGTCACACAGAAAATTAGAACTGCTCAAATGAAAGAGAAAAGCAGCAGCTCTAGTACAGAGCTGCGTCAGTACCAGCTCAACAGTGGAAAAGTACCTCAGCTGCTCAGCCTCTTTGCTTTCCTCTCTGGTAGTGACGTCAGGCACGTTAATGAAAGCTCCATTAGCATATCACCTTCTGTGTTCCAGTGTCCAAGTGGAGCAGCTCATGATTCTTTTCTAAGCTTTTAAATAACCACCAAAGCTGAGCCAGAGCTGCTGCTTGGTAGGGAGGACTTAGCTTTGTAACATAGCCAGTTCCCAATGCCACACAAACAAACAGATGTGCCAACAGAGGGATAAAAAAACCCAGAACAGATACATTTCTCTGAGGAAAGCAACATAAACCAGCTTCAATTCTCACAGCAGTCATTTGGCCCTTATTCCAGAATAAAGGTTTTAATTTCTAACTGAGTTTGAAACTTGCATGTTTGCTCCCCAAAATCAGGGTACAGACTTTGCTGAGCATTAAGAAAGAAGCACCCTTGCTAATGCCCTGCCAGTATTTCAGCGGACAGTGAATAGCCATGGGACAGAAAGTGCATCCTTGGACTTGATGACCTTAAAGGTCTTTTCCAACCTAGTTGATTCAATGATTCTAACATTGAAAACAAAGAAAACCTACAGACAGTTTAACTTCAGAGTGGAGTCTTTGATGGGTAGGGCTCTATGTTCTATGAGTTCAGGGGTCTCTGAGTCCCCATGGCCCCCATTTAGCCATCAGTGTCCAAGAGAGGATAGCAATGTGTGGAACCCCACCATCCTTCTTACTGAACTCCTGCACCCAGCTCTTTGTGCCATGAGCCCAGCTGTGAGTGCTGCCATCCAGGGAGTTATCTGTCAATGCAGCAATGCATCAATAATTGGCACTAGATTTCAGTCCTGATCAAAATTAATAGTGGGGAAGGAGGCAAGATGTGAGGTCAAAGAGGCACCTGCTGAGGCAATATAATATTGACAGAAAAGAGTGAAAAATGAAAGGCCTAAGTCTGGAGCAAGGCATTCTCTATTAATCTCCCTGTACATGGACAAAGCAGGACCAGAGGCTGCTGCTAGACCTGACAGAAATCTTAAAGGGCACCACTGTCTTGTAGCATTTGGGGGCTAGAAACTGGGAAATCTGTCAATTCAACAGCAATGACAGGAAAGCACAAGCATCTTGCAGCGCTCTAAGCAAGAACTTCAACCCTGACCTAGATAAAGGCTATCTAAAAGAAACAGGAATTCAAGCCCAGCTGGACTGCCTTGGAGTCCCTGTTGAAGTTACAAGGCAAGTTTCAAGGTTCAGTTGGGTTTGTAAAGGGCTGGTGTTGATCATTCTGCCTAAATGGACAGCCTCTATGGAAATCAAACCCCAAACACAACAGAACACAGCAAGAGCAATCCTTCAATTCCCATACACCCTCAAAAAGCTTCTGCCCATTCCCCAGTCCCTTCAGTTACTGAGGTCCTGTCTTACCATAGCAGTGTTAAGACACAAAACAATCTGCAACCATCAGTGAATGCTTCACAAGCAGACAAAACTGCAACTTTTAAAAGGTCATGTTAAATGAGCTCAGGTCACCAACTGATTTTCAGCCTCACAATCCACACTTCTATTCAATAGCTGATCACATTGACAGGTTTTGCAGAAAGGAAGATAAAAATGCTAGCAAGTCAAACTGGCAGATGACGCTGCATTTAGGGCTTTATTAAACATGGCTACAGTGTGTGCAGATGTAATTAAAGCTTGGGCTTTGATTTGGCAAGCAGCCTCTATAAATAGTCTTTCTGTTACTCAGTTCTTTCTCCTCAGTGCTCCATCAAAAAGAAAAGATGTCCTTCAGCTCCTCCCCTACCCCTGGGATGATCACATGCTTTATAGCCCTGCAAACCTTGAAACAGCCAAACACCACAGCAATAATATTTGGGTAACTCGCTGCGGGAAGAAAGGGGATTATCTTCAAGGTGCTTTTCTCTCAGCAGTATCTTCCATTTGGCTTGCCTGGGGTGGAGACACCAGGATGAAGGAGCAGGGCCAGAGTGCAGAATAAGAACACAGACTCCGTAGCATGGCTCCTTCCAAGTGAGATCTATCTTCTAAGTGATCTATGGGAAAAGGAGACAATATTGAAAAGCTTTAACACCGGAGTTACTTCTTGCCAGCTGATGTATTTCATCTCCTCATTTCTCAGGGGAGCTATATTTTGCTAATTATGTCTAATGAATTTTTAGGGTAGAATTTTTTCAATAGATTTTACATTCATTCCCACAGCACTGAAGGGAACCTGTTGTGTTGATCTAAGCCCATATTTAAGCTTTGTAGCAATCAGAGGGGCCACAAATAGGTTTAAAAACATCCCACAGATCAACAGAAATAGGTTTTAATTTCAGTTCTGCAAAAAACAAACCTTTGGTTTCTGAAAACTTACTTCCACTACACAATAAAGCAAACCAGAAATAGGAGTTGAGCTGCCCCTTTCAGCATTCAATAAACCCAGAAAACAACAAAATACAGGGAAAGGAATACTAGCTGCATAAACAGCAATAAGTAAAGTTGACACCTAATGCTATTTATTTTAATGCTTGAAATAGCATCCAAAATCAGCAATTTTAAACAATCCCTCTGTAAATTAGAATACAGGAGTGTCTTACAGTATTCTAACACTGGAGAGGATGAAAAACCCAAAATACTCTTTATGAAAAGATCAGTTGGCAAATCAGTTCTAGCAAAAAGGTATTTGAATGGAGCAGCGACAACTGGAGCTGACATTAGGCAAGGTTTTCTTCCCAAATAGCCTTTAAATCCCTCAGAGATACTTGGACAAGAGCAAAAGCAACAGCAATAACGCAACTGAGACAAACATCATGAGATCTTCTCCCCAGGGTGATTTAGATGGGTAAAAGAGATTCAGAAGTTCTCTCGCCCACTTTCAAGTCATGAACACCCATACAAAGTGGGAGTGAACTACACCACATCCAAAAGCAATGGTTTGGATTGACCTTCCTTACGCACCAGTGGCTCCAACTAAACTTCCTAAATGGCACAAGTTTGCCTGTCCCTAAGGTGCCCTACAACAGCACGTTGCCACCTTTACCCTCCCTTATTCTAGTACAGTCAGCAGCTTGCTCCAAGTAAAGTGAAAGGAGAACTGAGCTTCTCCTTTCAAAACTAATGATGTGATTTGCAAGCTGGAATGGAGAAATCCTGCTTTTCCCCTTCCTGGCAGCTGGATAATACATCTGCACACAAAGTAGCTAGGAATCTAGAAGTACTCCTCAAAAAAAAACCCACTACTTAAAATGACTAATCTAAATCAATAATAAGAACACAATTGATTCTTTATTTGCTCTCAGTGGCTGCCCTTGTCGACTTACAGTATACTGCCTTCCTAAAAATCATAGGGCTCTTTGTTTGCTTCCAGAGAAAACACTTATTTCAGATAATCTTGCCTCCACAAAGTTATTTTTCAATGTTTCAGTCACTGCTATGCCTGCAGGAATGGCTGATTACCCATAAAATGCCTTCTGACAGCTCATATTCATTACTAAATTACCACATGTAAATGTTTCATGTGCACAGGGCAATTACTCTCCTGAATGACTGCCAGCGACATTCCACTGGATCTGAATGAATTTTTCAAGGATTCTAATTGCCATTTAGATGTCCCTATAAGTCTGGGTTTAAAGGGTTTCGTTCCTTTTAGTCGTGGTTATACCTGTGTTCAAGGCAAACATGCTCCCTCTCACATTTCACATTGCTGCCAATTATTTACATCAGAAACAAAGGAATGTGAAAGTGGAGGTGCTACACAGGCTGCACAGTAGAAATGATTCATAGCCAAAGTCTTGAGCATGAATAATTATCTGTAACCCTCATTTGGAGCTTTTGCTTCAAGTTACATTATTCATAGGGCTTTTGGCAGTGGAAATGAATGAATACCAACTTGACAGACACCTTAAAAAATGCTAAGTTTTTCAAGTAGTTAGGCCAAACCAAACCTTTAATATCTCCAATGAGAGAAAAAAGGGAACGTGCACATGGAATATGAGGGGTTTTACCACTGACAGTAAATAAAAAAAACAGCTACGAATAGATGTTCAGAAAAGACAGCTGAGTTTTTCATTACACCACTAAGATAGGCTGGAGTTCTGACTTGTCTCCCAGTGGAGTGCCATCAGGAAGTTTCATTAACACAGTCTATTTTTTATGCCAAGGTTGTTCATGAAAGCAATAAATAAGAGCAAAAATAAACTAATCATTGATGAGTTCTCACAATAAACTCCAGCTACATTGATGTTTCTTTTTGTGTCACGTTCTTCATCCCAGTGCTTGCCCACTTCAGAGAAATCTGTTTCTCTATTATCCCTGTTCTCTATCAGCCTGTAGAGAGGCATCAAATCGAATATTCCCTTGAAAAGCAGCTAGATTAATGCTCCTTTATTTCTTTTGTGTAGAAAGTCAAAGATCGGGTTAACAGCAAAGAAAGAAAAATATATGCCCACAATATCTTTTGAACGCTGTCACGACTTTGGGCTTGAAAGCAAACCCACCTGCTGCATGGACAGCAAATGTGGAGGCAAAGCTGCAAGCAGAGCAGGTTAGAGCAGGCAGGTTAGGACACCATTGGGAATATTTGCTCAGGTCACCTTATGCTGTGCATGGCAGCCATGTGGGCAGAAGACAGGGGGTATCCCTATTTATCCCAGACAAGACATGAGGCACAGAGGTAGCTGTATCAATGATAGAATTACAGCAGATTCAAGCACAGACATAACTGAGCCAGATGCAGATCCTAAAATGACTCTGAGATAAGCAGTAATTAAAGACAGGAGATCTAAGAAAGGTGTTTGAAGACAGTCCCATGGGAGAGAGATGTTGAAAACTAACCTATAAAAAGGCTTCAGTTTCCTAAATTATATATGAAGCAAATGACCCACCAAAATCCAAGATTCTCGGATTACCTTGCTGGCTTTGCCACTGGCTGACTGCAGAAATGTGGGCAATCCAGTGAACTTTTCCATCTCTCCACTTCCATTTTTAGCAGGGAGGGAATGGGGGAAAACATGTGGTGCATCCACTTCTGTAAAGATTTTGAAATCTGCAGATGAATGAGCTGCAAGTCATTTTTAAGCAATATTAATCTTCTGCAACAACAACCTATTTCACTGAAACCTTCAACAAAGGCCAAAACCTCGGAGGGACGGCTGCCAGCAGTAAGTTATGCTTCGGTATTCAACCGTGCAAAGGATCCATGAGGGGTTTTCATCTGCATCTAAACTCTAATTAGCAGCTCTCTTGATAACTTTATTCCAACATTAAATACCAGCCCTTAATACTTCCCCTTGTGTGTTACTGTCCAAAATACACAGCTATGGACGAGGAATTGCTCGGAAAAGGGGATTCCAGCAAAACCTGCCACCTCTGAGAAACACTGGTAGCATGAGGTCAAACTTGGATGAAGGGAGTAGTGAAGTGCCAGCATTATTCCCTGCTTTCCAGTGGTCCCACTGATCTTGTGTACAGTAACTTAAGGATCTTGTGATCAGTTTCAATACAGCTAAGCTGGGCTCTGGCTTCAGCCTTGCTGGCACGCTTAGATACATATAGTACAAATAGTACACAAGTGTATTTCCACTCAGCAAAGTGGGTCGTGTTTTGCACTTGTCATGGATTGATTTAAAAGAATTCCAGGTTGCTGTGAAAGCTGCATATGAACAGGAAGAGTTGGGCTTTTTTTCCCCCCCATACAACCTACCATTTCCAAAGCTCCTCAACGTTTTGCAAATTGGAGTCCTACCCTAAGAACTGAAAGAGTCTTAAGAAGCTACCTCAATACATCCCCTTGCTTTTCCTCCTCGCCAGCTTCCCACTTTAAATTCCTCACAGATCAGCAATACTGAACGGCTCTCCAAAATTCTGATGGGCTTGTGTCTTGTCTCACCCTGAGAAGAAAGCTCTACATTACAAGGAATGCTGTGTCAGTTAACACCTATTAACAGTCCTAACAGCAAGTAAACTACCAAGTTAGTGAGCCTCCCATCAAGACACAGCTACAGTGGGGTGACAAACAGAAGCTGTTCCCCTTTCTACTGTCAATAACATTGCCCAGACATTAAAATAAACTGCATTATGGGTTTCTTCAGAACTTCACAATGCCAAGAAAAGATGCCAAGCCTGAACAGCGCCTGTCCTTCCTTCTCACTCCATGAGAGAGGACCACTTCTTTCCCATGCGGATATAGTGCACCAGGCTGTCACAGGCAAAACAAAGTGAAAAAACCTAAAGCAAGGGGTAGAACTGAGTACTGAAATGTATTTAAGAACCAAAGAGAGAGCTTTTACCCTGCCTGGTTCTCTCATGTGCATTCATTTTCTCTCCTCCAAGCTTTACACATTCACTAAGTCTTGCCTGCACCTCCCCAGAGGAAGACCAATGCTACCCTGAGAAGGTAAGTCAGAACGTTCTTTGCAGTCACCAGCCTCACCCACAATTGGCCAAGGTCCCTGCATATCCCCAGGCATGTGTGGTCATCCAGCTCTCTGACACAGCTCTCTCCAGCCAGGATCTTCACCACCTTCTTTCCAGGTCCTCTTCTTTTCAAGACCACTTCTTTTTGGGAAGCCACCTTTTTGACTTCCTTATCTTTCCAGCACCCTAAGCCCCTGACTTTCCCGATCTCAAGAGTAATGCAGAAGCACCACACTGATTATTAATCAGAGAGTTTGGGACATTAATGCGAGGATTTAGGATGTGTCACTACCTTTTAGTCCACACATTACCAACACTGACAGCCAGTCCATCTCAATCACAGCTAGCAAGTAGCAGGCTTCTGCTTGAGAGTTCGAAAGTTCAGTTTCAGACACTGAAACACAGAGGCCCAGTGATATGCCAGCTGTGTGCACTCCCAGTTCAAGCTGCTTTTTCACCTCAGACACAGACAGATATGTTACCCACATTGAGACAAACTCAAATCTGCAGATCATTTCCACATTAAGAGCCATCTCTCCCCAGAGACCAACATGGTAACCGGATTAGGTAATGTGTCATCCTCCAGTCTCAGTTAACTCCCCACACGTGCTCTGGAATCAGTTCAAATGAAAGCAAA